GCAGGATAATCGTTCTCTTCCATAGCTTAGTAGTTATATTGAGACGAAGACTAGCCCTTCTGGCCGGTGAAGTATAGAAGATAACTACAAGCTGTATAACATACCGGCAATGATCAGCCATCCATTGGCGAGATTTCTACATGTAATATGTTAGTAGATGATTAAATGGAAATAACATCTGCAGCTATCAATCTAGAAAGAGAAAAAATTATCAAGTCACTTATTATTTCTTTACTATTTTCATTTTGCCATGTTGCTACTTCCTCCCAATCTCAATTTACATGCAATAAATTTCCATACACATGAAATAAATAAACATTCTACGTTAATTAGCTAATTAATTATTGACTTTTTTGATTGATTAGCTAATTGATATTCATGATTTACCATATGTAATGGCTACACCTACATCGTGAGTAAGCATATTCTTATGTTTTATGGAGAAATATGAAATCAATTAAAGCATAGAATAAGTAATAAAATAATCTCTTATCTTAAAATAGGAGACCAAAAAGATGAAATACTACGTAGAATTGATCGAAATAAATTTTCTTTTCAGCTTTTAAGCTGTATAACATTTCCCTTTGTATAAGAAGATACCAAAATTTTGTAATTTCGGTATTCGTAAGATTATAACTATCTGTTACGAAGTGTAGCTCCGTAAATTATAAATTAGGTAATAACAATTAATTAACCCTGTTGTTTACCATTTTGGTAGACAACCATGGGGCACTAGTACTGGTTGTTTACAATAATGGAGCAATCAACAAGGATTAATTATATGTAGCTAGATATAATATCGTTTAATATAGGATTAGCTTATGGGAGCGCATTGCTCCAATAATTAATTACATGTATTGGTGCTGAGCTCAGGCTCGCTGATTAGCACCATAATTGGTTGTTTTTCATTAGTGTCTGTTTACTATCCAAGCTCATACTAAGTAATGTTAATTGTCTGGGAGTAATTCCCTATAGTAACTTATACAATTTGTGGAAGGAGTAATTTACTAGTATGCCCCACAAATGAGTGGGGATGGTATAAAAGACCGAGCGAATTGCCATTCGCCGGCAGTAGTCGCTCCGGGCTCAATAAATTTTCTTTTCAGCTTTTAAGCTGTATAGCATTTCCCTTTGTATAAGAAGATACCAAAATTTTGTAATTTCGGTATTCGTAAGATTATAACTATCATTATAAAGTCCTGCGTTAGACGACTTGATAATCGCCTACTCGGATAGCCCTAAAATTCCTACAGTTTACTAATTGGCAAGACCGTAAAAGATACTCTGCTTATTGACTTCATGTTGTATTTACCAATAGTATCATAAGTAGTAAACTTCTTTTATGCAATTATGTATTAGTATTAACTATTGCATCACCGATAACTTACAGTATTATAATTTGTTACGCTAAATCCATGTTACGGAGGTTATAGCGATAGAAATCGATTTGCTTATTAGGAGATTAAGGTTATCTATATTTATTCTTCTATTGATGTATTCATGAAGGTAAAATATGCTCAAGTAATAAGGTTAAAATGGTATATTTATTGCAATATGTGATAGATCAGATCCTTTTTAATGGCTGAAATGTTATGAACTGCACGAGTAGATTAAAAATAGTGGAAATATAAAACATATAAGTTTACAAATTCAATCATAAAATTATTTTTCGTCCTCTTTATATTTTTAACTCTTCCAACATTTCAATATTGAGTACATTAAATTAAGAAAGTATGCACATAAGTGTAATCAATTTACTCGATACGAAAACGTAGGTTACTCACCACAGTCATGGACAACTAAAAGGTCTTTTTTAGTAGTCTATGCCATGCGTTCACTGTCTGCACTTAGTATAGCCAAGACAGCAGCAAGATCAAATACAAGGGGATGAACCAGTTGTAGTATTTAACGATGACGATCATTTATCAAATGATCAGATACCGATTATCATTAAAAAATTGTTTGTGACTTGATAACGAAGCCTAATACCAATTTATTTGTTTGTTATATGCGATAACTACGAAAATGCATCCGCGTCATTTGGTGTTACTAGTAGATATCTGCACTGTTCAGGGCTATTTCGATAGTAACCGAACCTAAATTAGTTTGCATAATACTATTAGTATACGAGTATAGAATCCGGAAACGTTGTTTATTTCATTGGTTACCGTTAATATCTGCTCAGATAGCCATAATTTAACTTATTAAAGTTACAACGTACGTAAGGTAAAAGACAAGAGTAGATTACAAGCATGGAATACGTATGTTAAGTAAATGAATTATCCATTACCGTCAGGCTTTTATAATATATTATTGGAATAATATGATCGCCGTCCCTCCACAAGTGCTCAATCCTCGTAGAACACACAGAAATATTTTCCCGACATACTGAACTGCAGCAAATTTGGAGATGGTTTAAGCACCTATGTATTCATATGGTAAGATACCGTATAAACTAACCGCATTTACAAATCGACCTTGTTCACGAATGACCATAGGTAAAAACTCTTAGTAACCGATGCTATTCCCCGTAGATTGACATCAGCGGCCTTTTTATATTCTTGCATTGGCATCCAATCAATTAATCCAGCTCGTAGTATACCTGCATTATTGACTACTGCCCATATACCTCTATCCTCTCGTAGCGTAGCCTTGATCATGCAGTAAGCATTTACAATGTCTTGCTGCTGTATAACATCCATCATGAATGTTTTTACCCGTGATGAAGTCGATTGAGCTAGCTGGGTGGCTCCTTACTGGGTTAAGCATGCAGCAAATACATGACATCAATCCAATCTAAAGACTTAGCTAATAAATTGCTAAATCCTGAATCGCAACCAGTTATTAAAGTGGAACGATTGTTGTTTTGACCCATTCGACCAGGATACGCTATCCATACGCTCGTATTGCGATAAGCCATATATCGATAGTTGCTAATATTAGATATAAGTAGGAGCAATGTTGAGTTACAGCGACGACCCATGGATCCATGACGTCTTCTTCTTCACTTATAATGATTGTTTTGACAGTACAAATCTCTTTAATTTCTTACTTGCTTCTTATAATTATCGATCGGTTTCCATCAGCAGTAGAAACTCTACCGACAGCGAGAACTTGATTTACACAAACCGTTTAATCGATGATGCACTGTTATCAATTTATAACTGCTGCACTGTAAAGCACTGCAAATGGAAGATTTTTGAAGCCCATGCAGCTCGTGATACGATTTTACGTTACTTATTGTTTTAATTACTGTCTATTATTATAATAACAATTAATGATCAATCTTCAGCAGAAACTTGTTTATAGAGTAGACTAAGTGTATTTCAATTTTGCTATAGTACTGTACAATAGTATAGTAAACCAAGCAGTAGTATGGCTTGTATATTTAATAGACTTTATAGTTACAATTTGAAGATATACCATCAACAAAGTTGTTAGCTATGCCACTTAAAAACTATCAAATAGCTGAAAAAAGCTTATCGATCACGAAAATAGCAAAGTTGAAATGCATTTGGTGATCTCTATTGACTTATGTAAGCATCTTAAACTAACAGCAATACCGCCAGTAGAAGGCTTAAAAAATCTCGCTGCACTGGTACTCTTTCATACGATTGGTTCTTTATGAAGAACGAGTAAAGATGCAATATAAAGTAATCCATCTAAGTGGTAATAGCATCTAACGATAGCTGGATTCAATCTCTTAAAAAGAAAGTATACCCGTCGTGGTAGTTACTTTTGTATTGAATGATTGAGGCTAAGTACTTTTAATTAGATTACGTTTTTAGACCATAACTTTAAGACCTACTTATGTGCAGTATGTGTGCTCAAATAGACACTTTCTGATAATCAACTAATTATAACATCAATTTAATTATACTAGCCGTCTTATACAAGGACAATTTTTTACTTTAAACTTTATTAATGCATATGCTGATAGTTAAAATACGGATTGATTAAAACTTATTTTGACGCTAATAATTCGCAGCTACCTCGTTTACTTATAGCAGTAATAATAACAATTTAATCAGATATTATTAAATTGTTCATACTATCAGTAAGACTATGATAATAATACGAAATTATTATAATAGAGCATCATGGAACAATGATTTAACATATCGTTGAAGACAATTCATCATAAGAATTAAGTTAAATATATAAGTTAAGCATAAAGTGTTAGCGTATACAGCGCAAGATAGAACGAGAAATGTAACCGATAGGAAGTTTATTATAGCTGTGATGTGCAGCGAAATTATACTTAAATGCGCATAGGGTAATTTGAACAATTCGATTCTCCTTCCTCAGGTGATAAAAATTCAGTTGACGAAATTAATTGAAAATCCTATCAGTTAGGATACACAATATCACAATATCCTATATGCATCTGATTACATAATAGGAAGTCGAATAAATTGTAGGATATACAGTAAAGTACAGTACCTTAATACAAAAAATGCAGCAAAGTAAACTTTTAAAAAATTTTTTATAAACCTCCAATATCTGGATTATTTATCATGTAGAGTCAGTGAGTAGATCTGTGATAATGGAATACTATATAAGTAACCTACAGCTTATATTCTAATTTCATTACAATTATAATTAGTACGGTCGTGGCTTAATAATGTAGGAATCATCGGAAATATTAATTGATGCCTACAACAATGGAAGACGGTAATGATACAGTATAGTTATAGAAATATTTAGCATTAAATTATCGATCGCAAATTAGAAGATTCGCAAGATTCATTAGTATCCGTTGATAAAAAAGGCAATTACAAGAAAAATGCTATATTAGATTAAGTAAGTAGCAAGTAAACAATATCATTTTTATCATTTCGCTGAAAGTGACTATTGCCCTGTTTTATGTCTGATTCAAATACCATATAAAGAAAGCCGATATTCTTGATATTACCAGAAACTTTACAGTCTATAGTTTTTATCCGGTTGATTCTCATATAACTAGTGCTTGGATTTATGACATCACGGTGCTTTCTTTTTTAATCTCTTATATCACGTGAAACGACACATAATAATTCTGATTGATCTTCATTGCCATAGGTGTAGCCTGATCCTAGATTGATGACCTAAATATAAAACGATAGCGTTACTGAAAGTGTTTTATCGTGCAAATAATAAATGCTTAAAATCTAAAACATTAACTTGTAAATTTTAATATTGAAATATACCTGCTCAAATCTCCACCCATCTGACATTGTAGACACTAAATGAGTTAATTCAGCTTCTTGGCATTGTATTACACGATAAACATGATTGGATGGTTTCTAAAAAGTAGTTAAATGATGCTATAAAATTTGATCGAATGTCTAATTTTGACAGACAGCACAATAGCAAATGTTATTCATATATTTCTACCTTAGCTTTGGAATCTCTAGCTTCAATACGCCTCTGAGTTAATTGTACTAAATTTTCCATATTAAAGAATTCAGCTTCTTCTAAGACCCCTAAACATGGATATATTCAATAGTAAATACTGAGTACTCATATTTTAAAGAGAGATAAGAAATTAACTGAAAAAAGCTACTAGCAAATTTATAATTTATTAAACATTGTAAGAATGGGTAATGTTATGCAACTTTGCTTGACTTGATGCTATATACTGTATATTGAGCCTATTTATCGATAAGTACTGCAAACGTCAATAGCAGACCTATATTTTTTAATTAAAGTTATCAGATCGAGACTATAGCAAAATCATGACATCTAGTGTAGAGACAACATCACTCGCTTTTTCGCATTGTACAGCATTAAGAATAATGTTAAGATTAACTCGTTACATACTTGACTTGTTATGTATTACTGCACTGATAGTTAAATCAAATTTGATTTTTCAACAGTAAGTATCTACCTATGGACTCATGATTTGATGTTGAAATTTAATGATATAAAGATATTATTACAAAGAAGATATTAATCGTCAACGAAGACAAATATCAATATATCATAAGATAATAAAGTAGTTTATGCGGCAATAATTGTTAAGGTCTACCTTCCAAAGGGATATCCTTATCAATAATTAACTTGCTATGACGTAAAAAATTCAGAATAGGCCTAAAATAACGTGGGTCACGGTCAATCATGTAAGCTCCATTTTCATCCTAATAACAAAACGGAAATAAGATATTACGCCATCAGTATCATGGGTATAAAAGTACTTTCTTCATAATGTTACTGATACAAGCAATCTAGTAATAAAAACTAATAATAATTAATCTAACTATTTTTGTTTTAATTTTAAGGTTAGGGCAAAACAATATACTAGATGCTACAAAGTGCTACCTCTAGTACATTATAATGTATCATTTTGGTATAGAATACTGCTAGGCAAATATTAACTGCGTGAAAGCAAGAGCTAAGTATGTCTTATCTACCCTATTAAGATGTTTACGCCAGTCTGCTAATGAAATTGAGAAATTTTCAAAAATTGAAATTATTCATGAGGTCTATTAGTTTAGAAAGGTCTAATCTCTTCGTATTGAATAGGAAGACGAATTTAGGGGGTGGAAATTCTAATAGGTGGTTTCAACAAGATTGAAACTATTTCAACTCCATCAATGCATCTATCTCCTTAACATAATGTAGTTACATTAATAATTAAATATGTAAAATTCAATTTTACATCTTTCAAAAGCTACTAAATAGCATCAACAAATGTGTTTACTTGATACGGAGGTGTAATGCAGATGGATTAATATGTGATATCAATTTAATTGGCATCAACTTGAGAGACAATTGAGGAGATGTGGATGAATACTCAATGGAGATATTAACTCTGTATCAATCATAATCATAACGAAGTTGATATAATAAATTAAGTATATCGAAAAAAAGAAAGACCTTGAATTACCCTAGCATTGAAAAAAAAGTCCATCAAATAGACTAGGAGGTCAAATTCTAATACAGCATTGTCGGGTATTTCAATAGTAGGATATCATTTAATGTATTTAAAAGTGTAGAAGTAATAAAAATAGTCGAGTTAAGGCTTTTTTAATGGGAGAATTTAGAAATATTCAAGTTGGGTTAACTAACATCATTGCCTATCAGTGGTTTAATCCATTTATCATGTTAAATCTGTTGCAGCATGGATATAGTATCAAAGAGAGGAAGATTGAACTTGAGACAAGACTTGGATGTTATATGTTGATGATTTATTTGATCGAGAAATTTTTTCAACGTAAGTATCAAGACTATCAATGAGATACAGCACCACCTATTTTCTATCCAATTCTTGGAAAGATATTTATAATTAATTGAGTAGTTCCTACGTTAAAAGAATTTAAAAATGATCAGGAAATGGTAGACTTCTATGGAAAAAGAGAGAAGTGGGAATCAATTTTGATATCCAAAATTATTAAAGCGGATATGTCCATCAAGGTGTTTGTTCAGAATGGAAAATTCTTCAACGTAGAGTTTGCACTTTCCGCCTCCACCTTGTAATTAACATATTTTCGTATAACCGATATGTTCATGATCGTTACTTATTGAGTCAGGGTATCGCTTTGAAGATCAAAACGTCCATGATTGCTCAGTTTCTTAATTGATATAGGCTATATTTGACATTTTACGATAGGCAATTGAAGGTCAAAATTGGTAAACTATGGCAAACGATGATATACTGGATTGTAAAAATTAATTAACACGACATGTGATGACTTTAATACAGATTATTATGGTTTTTGTAGTGTACATAGTCCTTTAGAAACGGCAATGTATCGTATCAGTGATAGATGGGTAGTTTAGTTTTTAAAAGCTTATGGTATCTTGAGAAAGATTTTGATTTCTCAGTTATTTATAATAGCAGGAAAATGACGATGTATAACGTCTATGATTTAGATTCACTTCTATAAGGTATGTATTTCCAAGTATAATAATATCGATAAAATTAAACTATGGGTCAAGCATATCTTAAGCGTCTGTAGCAAGTTCGATTTTAGTATCATGAAAAGAAAAGAGTAACATTTAGGATTTGATATTAGTATGCCAAAAGCTATGGCTCTAAGGGTATTTCATTAATCACTATAGCTAGTTATATGAAGTTTAGTTTTGGTTTTCAAGACTTTCTTAAGACTTAAGCAAGACTTGTTAAGTTAAGTAAAGTTAAATGACTTAAATAGCGTTTGGCGTCCATGATGATTAATTTAGGTTTTGTAGGATTTTTAATTTCAATGTCCTGAGAGAAAAAAAATTGATTAACCGAAAATGATAAGCAGCAATATGTCATCTCCATTAGGGCTAGTTTAGGGTTGATAGGTGTACTTTTCTTATTAGGGAAACGAGCCGTTAAAATGATTTCAACATTGGTTTGATATTACCTGTTCCTTGTCATAATGATTTATGGTGGCTAGAATAGCATTTTTAGACAAGGCTCTTTCCAAATCTACTCAGTGAAATATCAAAGCTAACATTTATGGTTGATATCTTGGAACTTGTTGTAGCCATAATGCTAGTTTTTAGAATATGGCCTTTCGATATCTTGTCGAAGATGTTGAGGGTAGCATTTTTAACTATGCCCCTTGCTATCCACTCAAGGAAAATGAAAGCTAGCATTGATGGTCGATATCGTGCACCTTTCAGAAGCATTTATAGCATCTATGATGGCTAATAGAGCATTTTCAGATATGCTTTCTCTCGATATCTTCTTAGAAGTAAATCCAAGTTCACATTGGTGGATATTATCTTGAACCTTTCAAGAAGCATCAATGATGTTGATGATAGTTTTGGTATAGCATTTTAAAAAATTCGATATCTCTTGAGAAAAAATTAAAGCTAACATTTATGGCCGATATGTCCAATGATTTATAGGTAGATAGTAATGTGGTCAGATCAATTTCTACTCTACGCTCAATAAATAACCCTTGAGATGGACCATTATTATTCTTGTCATTACTACCAGCAATTAGGGGAAAGCTTGAGGATGTGGTTAAATTGGATGATTGAAAACAGTGATAGCTATAGAGTCTTCTTGAAGTCATTTATAAAGGGTGTTATTGTCTGTTGACGATAGAAATTTTCTTACAGTAGCAATTGTATTGATGCAAGAATGATGTTGAGTAAAATCTATCTTCTATCACGGACTAGAGAGACATTTATTCGGCTAATCATGATATAAAGGAAAGAGGTAATCTAGTCTATCCATATCAATTCCCAATCAAAGGCAACAATAATAGCGCAATCTAGCTTACTGTACTGTAGGTAAATAACATCACTATATCACTATATAGTTGAAATAATAAAGTAAAAGGATAGACGATATTGGTAATAATATAATAGAAAGGAGTGGTTAAAACGGGATAGGCAATAAAAGAAATTGGATAGTATGGCATGTTCATAATACTCATGAATTTGTTGTGTTTATCATGGCTAAAGCCATTCAACATGATGATGAGTAATATCAGACTGCTCTTTCACTAAAATACAAATACACAGTCACTTAAACATTGATTGCCTGTCGATGTTGCTAAGAAGATTTCTAATATTATGTTGATAAATTTGCTAACAATACTCAAGTCGAGGTTTATCCATCCAATTGACTATTTCATTAGCATTGATGACATTGTTGACGATGCTAAAACCATTCTTTACGTTGATTCTATTAATTATCAGGTTATCCACTTAAAAATATGTTGATAACAACTAATTTATCGGTAAGAATTTCTATCGAATAGTATTGAATTGGCCAAGATAATGTGGATATCGTTGTGAACAACAATGAATTTATCGGTTTAGGATTTATATCTAGTAGTGTTAAAATAGTGATGATAACGTGGATTTTAAAAAAACTCATACGCGTACTTAAACCTTGATTAACGTATCGTTTAGGATTTATATCTAGTAGACTTAAAAATAGGGATGATAATTAATGTAGTTGAACATATAACTTCTCCTTAAGATTTACTGTATATCTAGTAGTATCGAAATAGCAATGATAACGTAAATTTAAAAAAAATTCATACGTATACTGAACTATGATTAACGTATCGTTTAGGATTTATATCTAGTAGACTTAAAAATAGGGATGATAATTAATGTAGTTGAACATATAACTTCTTCTTTAGATTGACTGGATATATCTAGTAGTATCGAAATGGTGATGATAACGTGTACTTAACCCATGATTAACGTATCGTTTAGAATTAAAATAGCGATGATAATGTACATTGGATACATTGGCAAATCATGACTAACTTCTCCTTTAAGATATACTATACACATGTAGTAATATTGAAATGGTGATGATAACGTGGATTTTAAAAAGCTCAGAAGTGTACTTAAACCATGATTAATTTATCGTTTAGGATTGATATCTACGGTAGTAGAATTAAATGAGCGATGATAATGTTGATGATAGATACGTCTTTGTAAACCATGACTAATTTCTCCTTAAAAATGTCCTGTATATCGAGTAGTATTGAAATGGTTACGTGGATTGATATATTTGTAAAGCATGACTTTAACTCATCGTTGAGGATTTTAAATCATTCTACTGTACTCAATACATTCATCGTGTAGGATTGATATCTAGTAGTATCGACAAGGCGATGATAACGTGGATTCGATACTTTTACAATCCATAACTGAGAAATGTGTAGGATTTACATCGAGTAGTTTTGAAATAGCAAGATGGATTTTGCACATTTGTTCATCATGACCAACTCATCCTTTACCATTAAAATTCATCAATTCAATGATCGTCAAAATGATATCAACCTAACGAGTTTGCACATCAAGATTAACTTCTCGTTTAGGATGTACTAGTGTGGTATTTTCATGGCGATCATGATCTTGATTTACACGTATTTATGAACTATAGCGAACTCATCGCTTTATGATTACTCGTATAATTGACAATAACGAGTGTAAGAATGGTGAATTTGTTGACGATGACTCCATTCAACCTTTGTAATTAACATCTATAATTTAAAATGACGATGATGATGTCGATTTACGTGTAGACATGAATAAAAATAATAATATCTTGGCTTGTAACTAATTGATTGTTAAGCAGTACTCAAACTCGGTTATAAAATGATGATCATCATTTACTATTTCGATCTAGTTGAATCCTCCATCAATATTCTTTATTCTGCTTTCGCTTACAAAATGGTAGTACTGGTGCAATAACCGATGATAGAATCGATTTAGGCAAAGGCTACAAGAAGAAGAAGAAGACTAGTTGTTGGTTTTCTACTTGTCCATAATTCAACTACAGTACTCGTATACTATTGTCGAGGGAGAAAGTTATAACCCAATATTTTAACGTTTTAATCTGATATAATATCAAGCAAGATAGAAGTCTGTTGGACAGTAGATGAAAGTGATAAGCGTTAGCTACATGTTAATATTTAAAATTGTGACACTAGTTGTAATTTGGAAGCCAATTTCTCGCCACTATTCACTACTAAAAGGACCAATAGTAATGGCAATGGATAGATTGCATACTTTGGGAAGAGTACAAGCTAGACCTATATACAGTATTGCTTTAATTGGAATCTGTCAATGATTGGCAAGACAATTTTGCTATTGAATTATAGAATAGCGCAAGGGTCTAGTTGCCCTCTAAAGTGATGCAAAGGAACGGGGGAAAAAAAACACTTTTGTCTTGTTCATTGTGAGCAAGGAAGTAAAAATATTATTCAAGCTGATCTAGAGTTTCTTGTTAGCATCTCTATCGATTATCATGATCCTGTAGGAACTATCTCATCTCTTTTAAATCGACTCGATGGCCGATTGTCATAATCCAAGCGGATATAGTATTTGGCAATCTTTCGAGACAAGTTGAACTTTACATTCCCTACTTTTGTATTCTAGAGATCAAGCCGATCATGAATCTCCTTTTTTAGCGTATCTTTCGATCATGGTCATCATGTAGAAGCTATCGGATCTCTTTCATATCGATTCGATGGCCGATAATAATTAATTAATAAATCCAATTTGATATACCAGTAGTACAGTACTGTATACGACAATCGTCTCCAAGACAAGGATAATTCTCCATTGCCTACTTCAAAAGAGTGGTATTCAAAAAGTCTATTTTTAAACAGCAATGCAGACAGCTGTAAATAAATCATGACAGAATAAGGCAATCATAGACTAGCATGAGTACCTAATGGCAACATCGTTTGAATATGTAACTATTAGTGAAGAAAAGGCAAATTCTGTCTACCTTGTTGTTGTCTTAGTTTGTTACACTATAATTGGGTAGTTGACAACTTGACTTGAAAATTGGAAAAAATCAAGTAAAATCAATATGGTCTTGACCATATTGATTTCTTCCAATTTGTTTACTAAATCAATTCCTTCAAAAGTCTTGATCCGAATAAGATTAGTGTCTCCGACGGGTAGATTGAATTGGTTTTACTTTCATGTTTTCTGGCTAGGCTAGGAAAAACTAAAGCCTAACCCTACAGTAAATACAAGATGTTGAAATAAAATAGACTTGATCCTTCATTAGAATGAATCAGAATAGAGTATGGTAGTCATCGATCCTACGGCAATGTCTTATTCCTACATTATCCAATTCATCGCCGTCGACGTATTTGATAAAAGATGGCCATGATAAACGTCGAAGGGATTATTAAAATAAACTAATTCTGTACTTGAAAGTGGAAGTAATAATTCCATCTCCTGATTAGGAAAGGATTCATTCAACGTTGGATATTGTTTCCCTATCTTACTCAAATAGAATCAAGTATTTGATGATGGACAATGTCTATTACCAGACTACAGCGGTAGAGTTATTGAATTCAATTTGATAAAATGTAATTATATCATGATCGATGGGATAATTATATAGCTGGCTAAAAGTCTTACTGTCCTTTCAAATTAGATTACAATCATGTGAAAGGCCATTTTGGGGGTTATTTTATCATCATGGTACAATGATGGTAAAAATAGGTAATAAAATGAATGAATTGAAGTTAGGGCCATGGCAATGCTTTGATTATGCCAGCAATTTACTTCAATCTGGATACCATGTTATATATTGTATTAGTTAGATAGCAATAGCAAGAGAACAAGTTAGGGTAGTCGAGTTTAGATAAAAAGCGAAAGTCTCTGAAGAATATTGATTAAAAAATAAGGAAAAAAGGAAGGATGAATTCCTTTTTAGAACGTTGATGTTTTGTATTAACAAGATGTTGCTAATGCTGTCCTCTTAACGTCGTAATATAGCACTAGAGAATGTGACTTGGGCTATAAATGAAAGACACAGTCAGCACGTAAACTAATGGACTTGGAATACAAAAATATTCCATTGTAAACTAGTATCTATTGGTTGATTCATCTTCTCAAGATGGATGGATAGGCAGTTTCAATACTTTCGAATATCGCTAGCGGTTCGTCGTGTTGGTTTAGCACTAGGGAAGATAGGGATAGAGGAGGTCATGGTTTTCTCCCTAGAATGGATGGAAATTTGGGCTTTCATCACCAGTAGCAATTGAAGATGGATAACAGTATATTGATGATGATGATAATAATATTATTATTAAATGATGACTTTTATTTTTTCCCCTAATCTATTTACATTAGATGATCGGAAAAGATAGAAGAAGGAGTTGAATACTTTGAATGCTACCTCTTGCAGTCCTAGAATGATTGACGATCATCATAGTGTGGCTCATCAGGATTATTGACGACTATTTTAGGTCCATGTATTTTATCTTTTTCTAGCCAATTCTAAATATGATGTAGAAATTGTGTCGAATGGTCATTTATTGTCTATTTCTTCTCCAGTGCCACAGATATCGTTTTAAGTTGAGCATCGGTTATTTCTTCAGGTCTGCTTTTAGGAACATTGGATAGACATGGTGGCAATCAAGTTATGGACCTACTGTATCTAGGAATGATTAAATTGTATTCCTTTTATTGTCCTGTGCTTGGATACACGATGGATAACAAGGAGTTGGAAAAAAAAGTGCAATCATTTCTTGACATGATGATCATATGATGGATAAAGTGGAATTTTCTTCTACTCTTCTAACTCCATGTTGTCAACGATCGCTTGTCTCTATTTCTATGAGTAGCACAAGCAAAATAATACATCATAAAAAAAGATGAAGAAGAGATCGAATGTAATGGATAAGAGTCGACTATTGAATGCATCATCCTCCATTTTGTATCATGGACATCATTTTACATTATTTTTCGCCTTCAATCACTGGCTAAAAGAAGCAAGACAAGTCCAGTTGTAGCCATGTTCTAGCCATGACAACATAGGCAAGAGGGTTTTACGGTCGTTGCAAGAAAGTCAATTTTACAAACGAATATCTTGTCTCTATTGAATGATGATGACTATTGGATGAAAGGCAGAGAAAGTAAGCAATGCTACCATCAAATCGATGGGATTTTGCCTGTCGTACAACAACAATTTTAATTGATCTCTCTCTCTCTCCTCTCGTACAGTATCTACAGTAATTTGGCTTTTGCAGCATTTCCATCGCTTGTCGTCGACTCAACCCATGGGACAGATGTTGATCTCTCTCTCTCTCTCTCTCTCTCTACCCTATAAATCACTTGTAAAGCTGAATGGAAACATCATCCAATGAAGGGATTGATAAAGGGTAAGCATAACAAGAACATAAAATGATCCAATTGGCTAACATCTATCCTATACGTGGCATCCATTGCCCCTCCATCAATTTACACACTGCATGCAGTACTGGATGAATTAAATGGTGTTGGACTTACTTTATCCGATGGAAGATCAGGATCGTTATTACATAAACGGCATAAAAAAGAATTTTCATCTTTACACAGTGTCATCCTGGTGGTGAGGAAATATTGCCCACCTACATTCAATTTGACCCAACTGGATAGATCTCGTCGATTGCCATCATGGCTATTTCTCGATGCCATCATCAACAACAAGTTGAAAAAGTTGGCGGATGCTGGCAGTCTTGTTGCCTACTGAGGCCTTCATTCAATGTCTGGATTTGATCAAGAAGGCGCTGCCTCCATCGCCTTGTTTGTTGTTCCTTTCGTTCTCATACGAATTCTACTTGTTGTTGAGTGGTAGATGGGTTAGGGTAGTTGGTGTTGGGTTATCGATTTATTTTTCAACTTGCCTATAGTAGAACATAGTAACCGGGATCATGACCGAGCGCCATCTAGCCAATCGTATTGTAAGAGTACTGTTTGAGTAGTCGTATTGAAGGCGCGTTCACACCCAAAAATGTGCTTGCTCACACTTGACTGGTCATAGAGACTATACTACAAGTCATTATACATACACTATACTCTTGCCTATTTTCAGTACTGAAACTTTCCAATATGGAGAATCAACATCATGGACTTATGGAAGAAAATCTTTTGCCTCTTTTCTTCCATTAGTCCATGCATACAACATCGATAGGATGGATTAATCCATTCTAAAAGCAACCATGTAAGCAACAGTGCGATTTTAAAAGGGCAAAGACGAAAACAATTGAATAGTGGGGTGGAAAAGTGAAGCATAATCCTCAATAATATCATGGATGGAGGGAGCACTGGCTTAAAATGGTGCTAGCCGTTTTGGATTGCAATGAATATAAAACAGGTAGAACGAGGTAAGTAGATAGAAGCGGAGAAGAAGCATGACTACATAAAAAATACATATAAATTCTATAACTCAAGCACAATCAACACTATCATTGTTTGGAGCTATGGATTAAAATAGTCCAAGAAGGTCATGGTTTTGGATTGCAATGACTACAAAACAGGTAGAAGGGGAGAAGAAAGCAAGACTACGCCATAAACATATATGAATTATGCCTTCTATAACTTAAGCACAATCAACAATATCATTATTTGGAGCCCTGGGTTAAAATAGTCCAAAAAGGTCATGGTTTTGAATTGCAATGATTATAAAACAGGTAGAAGGGGAGAAGAAAGCAAGACTAAGTAATAAACATATATGAATTATGCCTTCTATAACTTAAGCACGATCAACAATATCATTATTTGGAGCCCTGGGTTAAAATAGTCCAAAAAGGTCATGGTTTTGAATTGCAATGATTATAAAACAGGTAGAAGGGGAGAAGAAAGCAAGACTAAGTAATAAACATATATGAATTATGCCTTCTATAACTTAAGCACGATCAACAATATCATTATTTGGAGCCCTGGGTTAAAATAGTCCAAAAAGGTCATGGTTTTGAATTGCAATGATTATAAAACAGGTAGAAGGGGAGAAGAAAGCAAGACTAAGTAATAAACATATATGAATTATGCCTTCTATAACTTAAGCACGATCAACAATATCATTATTTGGAGCCCTGGGTTAAAATAGTCCAAAAAGGTCATGGTTTTGAATTGCAATGATTATAAAACAGGTAGAAGGGGAGAAGAAAGCAAGACTACGCCATAAACATATATGAATTATGCCTTCTATAACTTAAGCACGATCAACAATATCATTATTTGGAGCCCTGGGTTAAAATAGTCCAAGAAGGTCATGGTTTTGAATTGCAATGACTACAAAACAGGTAGAAGGGGAGAAGAAAGCAAGACTACGCCATAAACATATATGAATTATGGCTTCTATAACTTAAGCACAATCAACACTATCATTATTTGGAGCCCTGTGTTAAAATAGTCCAAAAAGGTCCGAGTTTTGAATTGCAATAAATACGAAACAGGTAGAAGGGGAGAAGAAAGTAAGACTACGTAATAAATACATATGAATTATGGCTTCTACAACATACTACAATTTAAGCACAGTCAGCACTATCATGGTTTGGAGCCCTGGGTTAAAGTAGTCCAAGTTTTGAATTGAAATAAATACAAAACAGGGTAGAACTAGGTAAATAGGTACAAGGGTAGAAGAGAGAGCGACCACATTAAAATATATCACTACAGTAATTGTTACTGCTATCTTTCATATTAATCATAGCAGGACAGAGTAGTCGACATAGAATAATTACATCGTACAAGTATCTCCACGTCGAATGGTATAGTGGAGTGCTGCTCCAGTTGCATAATGGAGCAGAGTATCATTTCATTTCTAAAAATGGAAAGACTCATTATACTCGTAAATATCTATCTTCCTGGCCATTTTACTATATCGGAATAACTGTGCGCAACCAACTAAACGTTGCGCAGATTTAGACATACAGCGTAATATCTTTTTAGCGATTATGGAAGATCAGAGTTTTTGACTACCATGAGCGCAAAACAGATAGAAATAGGCAAGTAGATGCAAGACTAGAAGTAGAGTAACCACGTAAAGGATACACTTATTGCCAATATACTTTATGTTTATTATAACAGGACATTGAGTAGAAATTTAATATTCTGAAATACGCGTAGATCAGAATAACAGTAACGCACGGCTATAGAAGGCGATACGTATCTTCCAATGATCTAGGTAGTGATTGAGCTTTGTAACCAATTAGGTTGGCAATCTACCAACTCCAATTTGAAGCCATTAAAATAGAGCAAATCTCCAATGCAGTACAAACACCAATGATACAAATATACCGTTTTATTATATCAGCCATCATCTACAATTGCTTTACGTATTCAACACAGCGACTATTCTACGTCGTATAGAGCTTTAATTTCATATTATTAGCATCGTTATTAGTACTTTTTCAACACACATAGCTACAATAATGTAATAAGCTCAAATTATTACAAATAGCCGGTGGTCACCCCTCTCTTTCGTGTTTGATAGTTCCTGGCAGCACAGCACGGACTAAGAGTAACCAGCATACGAGATCATAGTAGGATTGATTGCCGTAGTTTATGGCATCAGAAATCATGGACGAGGGTCGAAGAGGGTCAAGTAGTGAATATAGATTATGGTAGGGTTAGGGTTAGGGCTAGGGTAGGATTTACTTTACTATACAGGTCTTTATCGTACGGCGAATAGTATACGATATTCGTCTGTTGATTTGCAAAGCCTAACGATCATAAACTTTAGAAGTAGTCAATATCGATAGAACCAATGAAAGGAAGTAAAAATGATATTGAACAATTCGACATTTTCCGCTATTGGCATTAAGGTATTATAGTTTGGTATATCGTCTGCGTTAGCTGCGGCAGATTGCCATAATATTCGTTCATAAATGGTAGGCAGATTGTGTTCACCGTTATTACCAATCTAGATTGACAACGAGGAAATTTTAACATGACGAGCCTACTGTTAAGCTTGTCTTTCTTGACATTTGCCCACGGTACAACTCCATCATAACGATAATCACTTATCGCTCTTGTATGGGATATACGAGATTGGTTATTGGATGCTTGCTGTGAATGGAACATTCATTTGCAGTTCAATGTAGCCCAAATAAGATTAATGTTCCACTAATTTAAGTGAAATAAATGTATGCTAGACTTTTATACCGTAGTTGATGTAGAAAAATGGATGGCATGGTATACCAATACCGGTATCTAACCATTCGATGTATGCCATTTTAACTATTATCCAAAACTCTTTCAATTGACCATATTAACACTAATGGATAGGCTAACCTTTGTGACATCAATTGCTTGGAATCAACCATCAAAACTAGGTCGAGATGTTGCTCTTCGTTATTGTAATTTGTAATTGATTACTAGCGATATAAAATCCGACATCAGCTGATCATAAACATCATTCTAACAGAAGAATGATACATCGGGTTTGATATATGGTGCTTTACAATAACACATAAGATAGGATATACTCGTAGGATGCTTTATAATAATCATTTAGAATCTGCCTGGCTGTCAATGTACAATTATTATTCTACGTTACAAAGATATTTTTCCAAGCTGGTTATTATTAAAAATGAATGGACAGATTAACGTCTTGGACGTGACATTGGGTGCCTTATAATAATCGACTAGAATCTGGCTGGCTATAAAACTTATCATCATTATTCTACTTTACAAAGACATTTTTTCTAAGCTGGTTATTCTAAAAATTAAATAGAGGAATTAATGCTATTGATATTAGTTCCCTATAATCATTTCTAATAACTTATTGAAAAATCGCTTCTGACACTACTGCACGCGCATATCCCTAATTTTGAAAAAACAAGAAAACAGAAAATGAAGGACAATGCATGACTATAAATACTCGTATAGCAATTATAGTCGAAAAAGTCTCCATGGCGACTTGATAAACCCTGTAATAATCGGCTTGAGGCCGATTGATTATAAGTCAATGTGCTATACTTGGTAAAACTTTTACGAGCTGATTTCTATAAGCGTTAATCCATATTAGATTAACGCTGTAAAATGAATGTTCAACACGACATTGAAAAGCTACTGTTACTACCACTAACGATTTATCCTTGGCATTATTATACATATTGCATAATTTAATAAATCGCTACACACTTTTATTTCTATTTAACAATACTCCCCCATTACAAATGTTTATGTTACTGTACTATAACTTGGTTAATTTTTTTTAATTGAACGATACTCCTCCTCTCATTGCTCATACTGTACTATAAATTGGTTAATTTTTTTAAATAAGGTTCGGGTTTAGTTTTGTGTAGTTCACCTAGTCATTTCTAGCAGTATGGTAAAGTTAATTTTCGTCGTTACTCGATTTGTAGCAATCAGTGACGGCATTGGAGTGCATTTTCAACTATCGCTGTCGAAACTTCTTTTTCCTCAGCTCCAACTTCAATTCTTAATCTATAAATAAACCTCTTGGATGTTAATTTCCTATAATTATTCATTAAAACTAGATGGAAAATTGCTACTAACACGATATCCCCTGATTTTGTACGAATAAGAAAATGTAAACAAATGGAGAATGAGCTGATCATTGGCTTATGTAGAAATGAATAGGATATGTTATCTTCTACGCGTATAAAAATACATAATATACTCGAACTCGATCTGTTATAAGTAAATTACTCACGTTGAATAAAGAACCTTCCCAACTTAGTAATTACATATGAGCATTAATCTATGGATCGACCGTTTCGATATCAATTTTCAAAGCTACATCGAGAAGCTGCAGCTATTGATACAGTAAATAATGTTAATGAGCCACTCGATCTAGATAAGATAAATAATTTCAACGATTATTCATTGCGTATATCTATGTTTATAACAATCGCTATTATGTATTATAATAATAGAGCTATAAATTGAAATATCCCTTCAACCGTAATTGACATCTTAAAATAAGCTTTTTACTTCTTTGCAACTACAAATGCTTTATCTTAGTGTGGTATAAAACGTAGTTAAAGCCTTCGAAAGAAGATATCTTTCTGAATAAGTAAAATAGAAACAAGGTTAATATCATAGATTAGGAAAAGTGTGAAAATGCCAAGCTCAGATAACAAGCTATCAGATCAAAATTCTATTTCATTTTCTCCATTGTATCAATTTAGCAATTAATTGCAATAACCGAAAACGCTAATCATAGAAAGAAATTAATGAACGTTCACTTAAAATGACTGATATCAATATAACTTATTCAAATCAAAAAAGAAACAAAATAGAGAAACTAATCATGTTAGTCGTTCATACTTTAATATAGCCTTACTCGTATCGTAAAGTTTCATAAGATTTGTCACTTGATACAATTATTTATCAATGCTAGTAAGTACTATTAACGAGTAAATAATAAAAGCATAATCTATGTTCGTATTCAATAAATATGCTCTATCAATATTTGGTGCTCAAAATTGTCTTTTGAGTAAATAATAGAGAGCTAATTGGCACCACAATACTTCGTCTTTTGCTATCATAATTCACTAGGTAACGTAATTACATACACAACAGCTGTATTTTCCTAAAGTTGAATGCCGAATAACAATAATAAATGTTCAATTTTTATTATGATGATAAAAATATCATCCATTCCCAAAATGGTATTCTATATACTGTGTACGCATATAAAATTATTCTATTAAACACAGAAATTAATAGCTATAAAAACTTGAAATATTGTAATAGGTCAATGTTTGACATCGAGTATTACTAGCAAGTTCATTTTTTTCTAGATACTTTTTACGGACATAGTACCCACTAGTACAGCAAGAAAGAGTTTAAAATTGAAACAGTTGACCTCATTAAAATTGAAATATAAGATGTAATTCCAATAGTACGATCATTTCAAAAGTAGATTGAAGCCATAATACATGGTAGTTATTGTTGTATGATAAAATAACAAAATGCTTAAATATATCTGTTACATCATCTAAAGAAGTTGAAACAGTTTAATTTTCAATACTTTATGATGAAAGCGATATGAAAAATAGATAAAGCCGATTTAGTCAATTTTTTTACATTCAAATCATGCATCACAACATTAATTGTGCTAGCATACATATGCAGTATAGTCTTTAAATCGGATAGGACAATCTAAAATCAATATACTTGGTCAATATACTTGTAGAATTAGCAATAGGTTAAAGTCCTGTTAAAGATATGCTATCCACTAACTCCTGTTTTCATGCAAATAATATACTATAGCGAAGGACTTTATTTGCTAATATCGAAAAGAAAAAAATCCTATTTTGATTGTAGGAAAGTCACAAATTTCCTATAGTAAATCCCATAGCGGTATAATAATACAATTTATAATGCAATAAAACGAAATAATAATAATTTTTGTTGACTCTCGGTAAAATAGTAGTAACAACACAGTTAGACTAGTAAACTATCAATTTAAACTCATATTGCTCATATAAAATCGAATAAAACAAAGTTAATTTGGCTTAAACGATCAGTTATAGCTTTAATCTTTAAGACATGACCATAATTTTCTCCATACTTAGCCCCAATTATTATAATAGAACCAAATTTGACAAAGTTTACTCTTATTGGTGTTACTAGCTTAGTTAGCAATACTAAACTAGGATCAGTATGGTCTTTTTTCAGAAAATTATGTTCAATTAGGCCATTAAGATGATAGAATTACCATAACGTACAAGCTGTTCTACATCAGTATAATAATTCATATTGAAATGCAGAGATTATCTTTAAAATTGTAACCTTTATAATCTTGATATTGATTAAATTTATCCAGATGTATTATACTAATGTTTGAATCATTTTTCGAGGTAATGTGACCTTTTTCTCTTTAGCAATAACGACCATAGGTTGATCAGGTATCGTGCTATCATCTTTAGATAATTTAGTAGACGGATAATGAAAAGGATAGATAGTTTTTTTCTTAGAACATGGGTAGCGTCGATGATTGCTGAATTCCGAGGTGAAACTGAAATCCCAACTATTGCTACGTTTTAGCTGAAAAAACCAACAGTTTCAACTGTTAATATAATTTATTTATCTACATTTTATATTGTATACATTTTTACAACATCTGCACTGCGTATAAACAAAAAGGCCTATCACGAAAGAATCATAATTACCGATTTTCTCTTTTTTGATAGAATTCGATTTAGATCATCCGCTGTATAAATACGGTCTCTCGTTGGATTATCTTTACTATTGTTACTTTTCAATGGATTTTCAGAAAAGGAGCTAGTATCAGATGACAAGTTGCTAAAACTATTAAAATCACTCTGAATCGATCCATGGTGGCAATTGGACTCGTAAGATTGATGTCTAAATAAAGGTGAATGTTGCTGTAGATATGGATGACCATCATCGCTATTTTGTCCTTGTCGATGTAATTTCCGATTTTCACAATGAATGGAAGCCGTTAATTCCATCTGATCTTCTACATCGTCATGATCATCTAATGGATAGGATGATTTAGTCCTAATGTCGTGGACTTGAAATTTATCTTGCATAACAACTTCATTTTCAGCTTGATCTAATGTAGATTTTTGAGGTACGATAGCTGTGATTGATCGGCTGACGGTAATTCGAGCATATTTATTTTGATAGGGTAGAGGTGATTTAAGGGTATGATTTTGATCGAATTGATGCGTTGTATAATCTTCTCCAATTTTATCTAAATTTTTATGGTTAGATGACAGGTGGATATCTGTTAAGCCTGGTGGATAATAATTATTGGATTCAGTCATTCCATCATCTAAACCTTGGCTTTCCTTTGCGCTACTACTACCGGGATCGAGATCGTTGTTTTCTTTCTCGTCAGATTCTTCTAAATGTTTCATCAGGACAGCGACGACAACATTGGTTAAGACGTATTGAGCTGCTAAAACGAAGATCACAAAAAATAATGAAGACAAGATAGGGTTGGAGCAACAATTTTGCTGGCAATTTTCACTCCTATCGCAATTCTCTCTTAAAGTATCCTAATAGAAGGGAAAATTAAATGATTATCAAGATTATCATGTCAAACTAGTAGCACGCTATATATATATATATACTTCTGACGGGTTTATTGATAATATTCATACCGTAAAACATTTCATGCATTAGTATATAACATAATACTCATATTATTTATGCAAAATAATTTTACTTTTATTTTGGAGTACTAAGAATGGATGACTATATACCAACCTGTAAAATACCTTGCCAGTTATCACCCGTTGCAATACGAAATAATGTCAACATAGCCATGCCAAATGTTTTAAAATTAGCGTGCTGACTTAAACCATTACAAGGATTGTCCGTTGTACAATCTAAACAAATAGAATATGATATTAAGTCTAATGTATGCACCGGTTGAACAAAACTATACTCCTAGCTAAATGATGGAAAAGTATACTAGAAAATGACTGAAATAATTTACCTAAACGGCCAAACAATTCAATACCGAGCGCAGCAAATATAAAGAATAATAGAAAAAATAGCATACCCAAATTGACCACCTAAATATGGAAATATTTTGTTTTAACATGGATTCTAATTCGGATCGTAGCAGCGTATCATCTATAATTCAATACGAGTATATCGCTAAGAACTAATAAATACCTGTGGCATTGCATTCATAATCGTTCGTAAGAGAGATCGGATACCCTTTGCTGCTTTAATTAGTTTCAATACTGCGATACAAAATATGGCGCAAGTTAACAGTTATAACAGACAGAATTAGAATTATTATAAGATTAATTAATTTTTCAATATTCCAGAATATGAATGTTATAGTATAACAAACTGAATACACGATACATAACGATATAGACAATCGAAAGTCTAGATTTCAACGGAGAGAATCTCCAAGATGAAGGCTTTACTCTAATTATCGTTATGAAAAGGACCTTAACTAAAGAGATAGCAATTTTAAGATAATGTTTTGATATACTTACTTCGTACAATTCTTAACAATCTCATGACTCGAATAATAGTAGGATTAATTGTTGGATTGCTAAGGACCTGGCTTTCGATAATAATACCAGTCCAACTTAGTATAACGATTAACAGGTCAAAGATATTCCACCTACATCAAATGCGAATAGAAATAATAATGAAGTATACTACATACGAATCAATTAAATAATTACTATGATCACTTTTATTACTTCTTAGCGCACCAACTTTGAAAAATAAGACTTTAAATTTTTAATCTAAACTGATTTTAAAGTAAATACTGAACACCAATTATTGTAAAAAATTGTCAATTTTAATATAGGAAACGAATATAAGAGAGCAATAATATACGTAGATGCCAAGTGAAAACATTAGCTACCATTTTATTCTATCCATCATTTAATATTTAATCTTACCGATCTCTGAAATAATATACAACACCAAATGCCACTAAATGGATTACAGCTTCCAATGTAAAGACAACAGTGAAGAAATAATTTGCATATTTATGGACTTCTTCCCAAGCCTAGATAATTGCAGAGGTTATAATATTTAATCAGTATCCTGGCTAAGATAACTAATGCTATTTGCAGTTAAGTGGTCTGTAATGTTATAGTTATAGATTACCTGAGACATTTTATAGTGCTCAGTCGCCATAAAAATAATATTAACTGCAATCACAATGGTAATAGTAATGTCGAAATAACGATGAACACAGAATCGGTATAACTTTCGACGCCACGCTGGATAATCTTCCACTGGTGGTATATGATTTTTTTTCTTCTCTTTTACTTTCTTCTTAATTATAACTTCTAAAATAGAATAAGTTAAAGTTAATTGTGGCGATCATGACTGATTAGAATTAGGCAAACAGCTTTAATAGGGCTATACTATAAAATTGTTCTCTAACTTCCGTTAAGTTGAGAACTTATACTATGCAAAATATCTGGGACACACTCTTAGCATTTGCTTTATTTTGATTCTTTTTAGCTCGTTGTAACTTTCTATTTCTTTTCTTTTCTCGCTGTCTTCGCTCATGTTCCTCCTGGCATTTATGAAAATTTTCAACTACTACTCCAACAAACATATTTAATACGAAAAATCCAACCAATAAAAGGAAGGAGATGAAATAGAGTAAGACCACAACGTTATGATTCTTCTTTGGCTAATCAAAACATCATACAGGGATAAATCAAATAAGTATATTCGAAATGGTAATATTTAGTATGTGAAGCTAATCGTAAAATTATCTTGACAACGAAAAAAGATTACAAGCTTTGCAAAAATTTGCAACCTTCTTCATGAAGTAATAATTTATATAAAATTAGCTTCAATAATCATTGGCGATGAAGATCATTAATAATGTCACTGTTTAAGCTTTTAGAACTTACTTGCAAATCAACACCTCGGGCATCAATGCCATGATATGTAATATCCATCCAGCCGTCTTTACTACTAATGACAAAAAGTGATAGAGAAGCCTAAACAGTTCAAAAGTAGTAACTTGGGTGTTAGTTTAGTTAGTGAAATAAATTAAAGCATGATCTTTGTGAATATATCATGAGGATAATAGAGAACCCTTAAATATACTATAAAAGTACTTACATTGACTAAATCATCAAAGTTATACGGTCGATTAACCCATTCTGATAGTCCATATTGCTCAACGCACTGAGTCTTATTTTCCACATCATCAGTAGCTTTACAGTAGTAAAATTTGCCGCTAAACAACTAAATATTGCGATTTAAAAAGTGATATCCATATTAACAAAGGTGTTGTTAATTGCTAATTCTATCAATGTTCAATAAATATTATAGCTAATTTAGCATATTTATGGAACAAATTCAGTAACAAGATTACTACGTTATAATTATTGCTCTCTAGTATTTCTTAAAGTAATAAATGCAATATTTCTCACCCATGTTAGCATTTTAATATTAGCTAAACTAACTTATTTAAAAATTATAACTTGATATCAAGCTTATAATTATCAAACCGTAGCCTAGCATTGCCAACTTTTAAAATAACTAAATCTAACATATCTGCGGACTCATATTGATATTAATGTTGTCAAAATTACTATGTCAAGATTAATTCTACCGGCATTGCTACATTAGGACAAAATTTGGACTGTAACAAGAGAATTTTTCTTCTATTTAGAAAATTGGATATAACTATCTGATAAATAATTCATTTTACCAGTATATAACATATTAGAGCTAATGGATGTTGTTGATATTCTGTCTATTAAATATTATTTCTTATTATGATAAACTCTATCGCTGCTCGCAGCATTAAATCGTAATTACCTGAACTCCTAAAATACCAAAAATAACAAAGAAAGCTACACATATTATAACAATGTTGCCAATAGCTTTCAAGGAAGAGAATAGCGTTTGAACGACCAGCTTCAATCCAGGAGCACGATTAATAACTCTATTAGATAAATTAAGAATGGAATAGTTAGGTCGATAGATAATGAAACAAAATAATCTAGTTGGTAAATAATGCTATACACCTATGATTAAGAAAAGCTCTAACACAATCCCTTCACTAGGTCAGTAATATAAGGAGGTTAGTATAACCAAGCTAATTCTTCTTAATTGTATTTTAGATGTACTATAAATGTGATAATATCCACTAGCTGGAGCTGCTTTTCCAAATATGGATTACAGTATGAAGCTTAAAAGGCTATTGTAATAGCTACTCCAAAAATAGCAATTTCCAACGTGTGCTTGCTATACATGAACGAGTCTACATAAGACATTCATATTCATAAAAAATTATCTATAAATTTGATCTAATTGGTCAGATAGTCCATATAGGTTAGATATCTTGATAGTATTCAATCACAAGGAAATCGGGGAAGGAAGCCGTTAAGAATTAATCGTTAATTATCATTTACCTGAGTGGACGTAAGGTGCGAAATCCACGTAGTATCCGTAAAACTCCCAAGATATTAGAGGCACCACCAGTATATGTTATAATTAGATCCACCCATGAAATAATAACCAAAAGTAAATCAAGAACGTTCCAGCCATTTCTCAAATAGCTTTTATCGCCGGTTACTAAGCCCAAAGCTAGAACCTACAATCCAGCAATAAGCATCATTAGGACTGACACTACCGTACTAATTTAGTTTAAACGAAGCAGAGAGAAACAACCAACCTTGATTATCATTTCGCTTGTAAAGATGAAGGTAAAGATGATAACCATCAAGTTTAAGAAATGCCTTTCCTAGTAGTATAGAATTTAATTTTAAAATTTATTTTACTCTATTACCTGAAATGCTCATATACCGTACAGAATAAAATTTCATGTAAAGACAAATTTTGCAAAATTTCATTTATTAGTACAGTATATCTCGCAGATGAGACGAAATTATTTCAATAATGCTTATTGCTTTCATTCTACATACCATACTATTCGGATCTATTCCTGGTCTTTCCATGGCCAATGTAACGCAGTTAAAAATGATAACTACCAATATAATACGATCGAAGTAGGGATTTTTAACCACATTTTTACACCATTTCCGAAACCTGAATTAGAATTGTTTAGGTCAACTTTGGTAATTTTTTTGATAGACTTTGTATTTTATCATACTTTGATTTAACACTGCTTTAACTAAGCCTGGAAATAACGATAAATTAATATGCTTAATTAATTTATTCTCTGTCTAAATAACGTTTAATTATTGTGTTATAAAAATATTTGATATATAAGTACGTATAATTAAGATCGCAAAAAGATTAGGTTGACATTATCTCCAAAAAGCGTGTATAAGTTGATATTTAAAAACAAAAGGCTAGTAAATGAATCAAATAATCAGATATTTATTAACTTGTTCCATCATAATTGCTGTAGTTACTAAAAATATTGGTTAAGAGAAATAGTCATAAGAATAATTTCCAATACTCCAATACTGCAACAGGGAGTATTTTTTTCAAGAAACCGAAATAGTATTATTTACAAAATTCTAACCTATTTTCTTTAGGTAGTATGAGCAAGGAATGATTCCGATGTCTTGTTAGCCAGTTAGGGTTATTCACTTCTTCGGGGCAAATCCAATATTTTCGACGTATTGCTTGCCATTTCTGTTTTGACTTCTAAATATATACGATAAACGATGGAAATGAATGTAAATTTAAATTTCTCTGCTATTTGAATACTGATACACTACAGTTTGTGAACTACTTATTATAAAAATTGTAAGATCTTACGTTTCGTGATTTACTATATGAGTTAATTGTAATTATATCATTTAACAGGATTTACTGAGACTGATTTAGGATGGTAAAAGATAAAAATGCGTATAGTGATTGCCAATATTAGCATAGATCTCTTAGTAGTTGTAGTATCAAAAAATAGATGTCAATTACTTTATACTAATGGCAAATCTAAACTTGCATATTTTCATATTTCCAGGAGGAATGAAATAAAAAGTCGATATCATTAATCTCAGGGATAGAATTAATATCGATAATCAGTACTGACCCATGGCATCAGGCGTCTTAACTTTGCAAATTTATTTTTGCTCTGTGGTGGATCTCGAGGACCAATTGGAACGCGACACGGAAATATTTGGACTTCATTAGGATCTACCAGATTTGGTAGTTGTTGTTGTTCTTCTTCTTGATTGTGATTGCACGATAAAGACGAAGATTGGAAAGTTCGTATATAGAATTCAGTTTGACTATCACCATCTTCTTCTCTCTTGTTTGACTGACTTAATGCAGATGATTCCATAGCACAACTTTGATGATCGCAAATCGGTGTGCTTTTACCATAATAACCTTCAACAATTTGTGTAGTGGGAATTCCTTGCAAATCCTTACCGACTTGATAGCCTGAATTTTCATCTGGAGCATTTACCTGCCGATTGGCAGGTTGATCCTCTGATCGTACATCAGTAATACTGTCACAATAGTGTTTTAAAGCCCTTCCCATTTTAGCAGTTAGATCTTTCTTACGATTCTTTTCGTCCTTGATTAATTTTAATTTTAATAGAATATTATTAGCGTATATTATTAGGCTTTTCTGGATTTGAGGACTAGACTAGTATGAATAGCTGGCTATATATATATATATATATATATATAAATTTAAGCAGTCTACAGCATTATGTTCCTTTAGATTAGTCAATAAATGCGGTATATAGCTACAGTAGTTAATATGAAGAATGTCTTGGAAACATGATAATATTTGAAAAGCATATCAGCTATAACCAGAAATATTGATATATGTATTATACCTTCTCCTGCTCTTGGAAACCGTTAACTAATATAGCAACCAATAGATTAAGTAGCACATAATTGCCTAATGTGACCAAAGCTAGGAAGTAAATTGCAGCCCATTTACCACGAGCTAACATCCCATCATACATGACGACGTTCCAATCTTCTTGTGTTAAAATCTAATTTTATATATGCAAGTAATATGCATAGTTTGAAGAAAAAAAGCTTTTTATTTAATAATTAATTACGAGATAAAATTACTACGATTTAATGTACTAATAGTGTAGATTGCTAACCTGAAAGACCGTTACAAATGCCCATAGTAAACTATCGAAATTTTTACGCGAACAAACGACTGGGCCATCCTTTACGCGTGCTAAGCAGAATCGATTACCGAAAAGATGCATTCCTAATATGCTGAAAGTGAACATAAATAGGAATAGTAATCCAAGAAAGATGACAACATTATCGAATGTTTGCGCCATGACCATCATTTGACGTTGTAGTGTTGGCAGAAAGCGAACAATCTTAAAGATTCTCAATAATCGGAAAGATCGTAGAACAGATAATCCCTTGCCATCAGTAGCAATTTCAACAAGGCTAACAAAGATTAAAACGACACAAATACAAAAATATTAATCTTTATGGTCCAGTTAGAGAGCCAGGAAATAAAAGTAAACATTACTTTTATAATTATGGTACCGCATGTAATTTAAAACACCTCTAAATTAAAATTAAATACGATCACTCTTAGCTCTTGTTTCGGCCAATACATTACTAAGTAATTCATCACATATAAATTAATGAGCTAACAATCTCTATCATTTTTAACTTGCAAAATTTACTTTTAATTGTACGCATCGAATGATTTAACATATTATTTGATTCATGATCATTGGCACTATAATTAAAGTATAGTGTGGATATAAAGATTAAGAATTTCACTTAGGTAAACGGTTAGATTGATATTAATTCTAGTTTATCATTAGACGCGCATTGTTAAGTATCATGTGAATCTTCTAGTCATTAAGATAGTCCATACGCTTTCTACTTATAAAGTAAAAAGCTAGTGATCTCTACTATTTAAAATGGTCAATATTGCTTTGAAACTGACTACCGAATTATTTTAACTTGCTGACTATATTATCATCATTCGATCTGCAATAGCACCATATTTATGTAGTAGAACTAAAATGTATCTATTAAATTATGATGTATCGAGTATATAGATTCATCTGACTTATAGATTTTAAGCTGATAATGCTAATTTTCTATTATAATTCTCACCTAACTATGACAATGATGGCATCGAAAACGTTAAAACTATCTTTAGCGTAGTGTAGTAAGCCCAGCGCGAAGAGCTTAAATACCATTTCCAGGGTAAAGAATATCGTAAAAATGATATTGCAAACTTCCAAGGCTTGGATTTGATACGTGGGCTTAAGATTTTAATGTTATAATACAATAGGAATTAGTATAATCAAGATATTCAGACGCACGAATATGTCCGTATATAAAAAATAAATTCTAATATCATTTCTATATCTCCTACCCTTATAGCATATTATTCGTTGTCAGTTATCACGATAACTGTAATTTTATAGTACAGTAGGATAATAACGATTTTGAATATTTAATAGTAGGACGAAGTGAACTGTAACTATATACTTAGTCATCGCCTCTTCTCCAATTTAAAATTTATTGCTAAGCGCTTTTATAAGATTAATTTACTGGAGGCCTTATTAAATTTGTGCTTGTGCATATATGTAACGAAAGAATTTACAACTGCATTATACATTGTTAAAATTGATTTTACCTGATTATGATGCTCAATAGCCATTACAATCGTGTTGGCGAGAATTGCAAATAAAACGATTAAAGAAAATTTTTGACTCTTTGTGAATATACAACAGCGAACTCGAAGTCGTCGGATCCGCTGCTTTAATTTTTGATAATTGGTAAGTTTATTGGATAGATCGGTAGTCAAACTTACACCATCCGGTTGATGACGGAGTTGAAAATTGAATAATTGTAATTCGGTATTACTTTCTAACGGATGGATAGGTGTATCGCCGTCATTATCAGTTGTTCCATCGTATAGCGAATTATTGATTGCAAGATCACCATTACGCTTTCCTAATCGATCACGAAGTGCTGATTCCTGATAGATTTGGCTGGTTGTAGTAGTATTCTGAGAGTAAGATCGTTGACGCCAATTATCTAATCGAAATGCTAAATATGTTGATCTTTCAGTACCATCAGATAAACATGATCCGTCTATATCAGGCAGAAAGAAATTTTGATGCAAGCGATCTAATCGCTGATCATCAGAAGTAAATTTAGCATTTCCATTAACGCGGCTTTCACTCATAGAGGTTGAACGTTGATGGCGAGAGCTCCATTTCCTTTTACATATTAGACATCGATTGTATAAACGGTTCCAGCTATCATAAATAGGGATAGAAATAAGGATTATTATATCGTTGTTACAGGATTATATCGTTCTATTACTGTGTGATAAGGTCTTAATCCTACGATTATAGTACTTTAAACTTCATTGTAAAGTCGCAATTTGGTTAGTTTAGACTACATAAAGAAACTTATTGACAAGTTTTTAGCACAAGATTTTAGCTTCAGAATTTATTTACTACACCGAAATAGCTACATTTATTTTTTTAGTAGCTTACCCTATCAGTTTTATAACAGTACTTACATTTTTTTTAAACATCGACTATAGAATTGCTGGATCAAATATGCTATGTATAGTATTATGCGGCGTATTAAACGAATTGTTTCATTATAGCATGTCCGCGATTCGGCGCTGCTAGACAATGTGCTAAATGAGCCACGACGAGATCTTATAGCAGATGGGCTATTTCTTGCTTTTTTAGTAACTCTACGTTTAGTTTCAGAAAATTGCGTAGCCATAACCACCAATGTAAAATTGAGTAAAAAGAGGGAACCAATCTGTATTTAATAACAAAGAATATTAGTGATTTAGTATGCATTGACGGCTAAGGTTCTATATTCTAACTAATAGCATGGATTATATACATAAATAAATCTATATTCATATATGCAACCTGATGTACTCCATTAATAGGTACCTAAGGTTATCGTGTAACAAATTAATTTTTGAATTTAAAATTTGCTTACCAATATTAAAATTACAAAATAGATCCAATCTATGGAAGCATGTCCATCTTGAATGGCATACATGATATCTACCCATGCTTCTAACGTAATTACCTAGCCATGGATAATATACAACAATTATTTGCCCATTATTTACATTTTATATGATGTTCTGATCTGAACTTTGATCATATTTTATCAAGTCTAAATACAATGTATTTATAATATATTATAATATTATTTTTCATCACATTTATTACGTGCAAATAGAACTGCATGATCATTCACTATAAGCACATATTCATAAATCTACAGGTATGAATACTGAATCTACATCTAGATCCTTGATGCAACATTTTTCGACGATCATTATATCTAAAGTGTATATTCAACTTTAGTTTCAAATACTGAAAGATTCTACCTGAAATATTGCTATAAATGCCATAGCGAAGTTGTCAAATGAAATATTATCGTAGAATATATTTGGTCCGCTGGTACTACATGTATCGTAGAACTGAAGATATTCTGTACATGTTCCGTCCCCATACTGACTGGCTAATGTTTGGTTTGTTATTTTGCATGTTAAGTCTAACGTTAGGTTGGATAATGTTAGATCTCTACAGTGATGGATCCCATTATACTCAGGTAAGCTGCAAACATAGTCAGGATCTTCGTAGCTCGGTAAATAGTATCGATATAAAAAGATGCTAGGTAATGATAAAAAAGTCATCGTTAATTTAAAATACTCACACCTATAGTATATAATTTCAGCTATAACTAATACATTCAACTAGCTCTAACATTAAATCTAATTTAAAGTTACTGATCTTTATAATTACATGCATCGAAATACGTAAAATAAATATAGAATAAGTCTAAAATACAAGAGATTGGGAAAGGAAATAGAAGAATACAGAGAGATAGTTTTAACTCGTTACTGACATATAGCGGTAAAGGTAGTACTATGATACTTGCAAGACCTTACCCTGGTGGCGCAGTGATATTCTGTTGTAAAGTGCATCGGCTACGCAGAATACCTTTCCATAATTGAACACCAACGATACCAAATATAGAAAATACTATGAAGCATAACATTAAAACATTGCCAAGTAATGGTAAAGTATCTAGTAAGAGATTAACCAATAACCGCATGCCTATAAATTGAAAGATGGAAAAAAATTTGATATTAACTAGGATTGCATGGATACGCTTTACTCAATGTCATCGAATTTCCAACCCAAGTCATCGTTCATTAGATTGATAATTTTATTGCCCTGATAGAAACAATGTATTTGCTATATGGTTAATAGAATAAAATTACTTACTCGGAACGCGATTAATTGCTCTTAGTGGTCTTAAAACGCGGACTGTACGTATAATCGTTAAAAACTCTCCTTCATTAATTAAATATTCCAGGCATCTAGAAATTATGGCAAGAATTTTGATGCATTAATCACAATAATATCTCACTTTTCATGAGATTCTACGTTATATTGCTAGCAATAAGCTTTGCAGAATTTATTTAGATCATCAGTTATCAAGATAGATAGGGTGTAGATCTCATTATAGGTAAGATAAGCATATAGTATTGAGTATTTATATTTTACTGTGCCCTATATTCTAGTCATGCTTAGCCGCACTTGTAAACTTGACTAACTTACCCAGTTAAGACAATTATAAAATCTAATCGATTCCAGCCACTTGAAAAATAGGCATATTTACCAAAAACACCTAAAGCGACCATTTTGATAATCATTTCTACTACAAAATAACCAAATATAATATTGTCGACCACACTCGTTATTTGACATGTGCTATCCACGCAAGTATTATTTTTAAATTGACCAGCTGGATTATAAGAGCCTAAAGTAACGCAGTTAATTAAGATAACGATGATTGTAATTCGCTCGAACCATGTGAGAAAGCAAAAGTTAAGGCCAATACTTTTAGAATGAGGATATAAAAATAAATAAAAGTTAATAATTATGCTACGCATATAAATACTATAAATTCAATATATATTAGATGATACGTATTACATGATTTGCAATTTTGATGAACTAGTCGTCATTATTAAGGTACAGTATAATTATGACCAATCTTTATAGTTAGGTCATTCTGTATTGTAGATAATTTTAAAGACTGGTAAACTAATGAAGGGTACGCGTATAAAGTGGCTACTTGCAGAAATGAGAGAGCTAGATATAATCAAGGTTAATTAAAGACCGAATTCTATCTAACTACTTGATAATATTAAATCCATCTATGAAAGGATATCTCCATTGGGATAGTTTAACAAAATATTTCCTTGGCCATTCGTCTTTATGTAAATACCAGCATACAACTGGATGAATTTCATCATCAATATCGGCATCATCGTTACTATTAATCTGTTGTTCTGATTGAAATTCTCTAATTACATCGTGAGGTTGTCGATAATTATCTGCTTTATAGTTTTGATTTGTTCTATCTTGTTGTTGGCGGCCTTGTTGATATCGATCATGGGCTGATATTGGTGATAATAAATCAGGTGATTTAGCTTTTCCATGATAAGGCAAATCCTGATGTTTATTCCTATCTATGGCATGATGAGAGGGTTGATCAGATTGATAGCTACTTGATGCAGCAAACCTTTGATGACAGCGATGGCCATTCGATGACATATCAACTAGAAGTAATAATACAAGATTCCAATTAGCTGATAGAATAGAGAGCAATGTCATATTATAAGTGAAGGCAATGATAGCGAACGAAATATCCATTTTATTTGCATGACTTGAATAAAACATCAAATTGCGATATAAAGCTTATTAATAATCTAGAATAAAAGTAAAAAAATTCTCATCAAAAGTTTCTGAAGTTTGATCACTTCTTTTCCTTCTCATTTCTCTTAATTACGGCTCTAATGTAATAATGTAGTAAAAAAATTGGCACAATTTAACTGGTATCGATATCGAAAATTTTTATGCTTTAATCATAAGGATGAAATCTATCAAGTCAATAAATTATATCTTAATAAGGCGTCGAGCCTAAAGACTTGCATCAAGACTAATGAATGGTTTATCGACAATTCAATCGGTAACTTAATGGAAGGACACCTTTACGTGAGAAAATCAATATAAAATAATTATGCCCACGGCATCACCTCTTGGTTCTAATCAGCATAATTATTTTTAAAGTCAGAGTAGTCCAGAGTACATTAAGATATCCTGTGCTAAGTCATTTTATATATTTTACTATTAAAACAGAAAATGTGTGTACTATCAAACATATTGTGATGTAGATTATTTATACTTATCAATTAAAAAAGAAAAAATTAACTCTTGAGTTAAAACTACTTATTTTAATTTAGTTTTTCTGTTTGCTTCGTCACTTTCTTCCTAATATCGATTTTTGGCGTTCAATAAAATTATCCCACCTTTGATAATTAGAATCGTAAGTACTCTCAGTATCGCTCTTTGGGTTGTTTCTTATCTTGGCGTGCTTATGCAATGGACTTCTTAATGAAATGATTCCAGTTTATCTAGCATTCTACATGTAAACAGAGATACGGCATTTGTCCGTAATAATACTTATTGATTGATGTACGTATTTTAAGAGTTTAATTTCGTAATGGATTAAGAAATGGTAGGTAGTCAAGGAATCAAAAACGGTTTAAAAGAATTAAAAGAGCTGACTAATGACAGAAAATTACAATTTTGCTCTACTCTGTTTAACTCAGTATCTGTCAGTGGTCAGGAGCAATACAACTTTATCCAAATCCGGCTGTGACAGAATAATTGGTAAAGAGACAGTAGGAATGCTTAGTAAATAAATTAACGTCATAACCGTAGATAAAGGTTTATTTAAATGGAAGTATACTTTGCTGTCAAGTATTAAAACCAACGCTAAGGTCATAAATACAAAAAAAATCAATTAGATACGATAATACCTTAATTTCTATTCATTGCGTCACTAATGTTGTCATTAAATTGGAGGTAATAAAGTTAGGGTTAAAAATTGTGATAAATTAGGTAAAAAATTAAGATTACCGTCAAGGTTAAGGCTAGAATTAGAATATCAGTGAAATAACGTTTCTATTTTAAGTTTTTTAAGTCATTGATTTCAAGATTAATTTAGTCTTTTTTTAATTGTTCTTCTAGCTTAACGATTATTAGTTCCACTTTAGTTAGAGTTGTGTATCTAAAATGGAGACGAAAACTGTAAATTGACCGAAAGCTACAGCAGCAGCAAATGCATTAGATCTTGAATTTAATTTCAAATTACATTTAATTAATCTTGGGAAGTACGGTATATAGCAAGATAGCTATCATTTTATCACTATAGTTGTTATAATACGAATATCTACTCTTTTAGCATAGTAGTTATAAGTTTATGACTGTACAATAACATTTTACTTTAAAGATCTGTTAATCATTCATGTAGTAGATTTTTAAATATGCAGTTTTTTTATTATATCCTAAAAAATATTACTAACATTGCCATCAAACAGTCATCAGTACTTAGTCAACCAATTTACGTAACAGAAGTGTACTTATAGTATTTTTTAGTGTACCACTGCCTGATTATTGATATCAGTAAGAAGTTTTTACCTTTTAACATAGAATCAGGTAGAATAAAAACTAGAGACTCTAGCTTCGAACTTAATGAACCTCTTAAATTAGCATCGGCAAACTTTTAAAACTATTCAGCTACTTTTGCTGAATTTAAATTCTTCTCTAACCGCCTTAAAAATAGTTCTATAGGCTTTTGTTTAACCGCGGCGTGAGACCATATTCTGTTTTAAATATGACGAACATTGCCACGTTGAAGATTAATTACTAGCACTCCCCTACTGCTTGCTATTTGAGAAGAGCACGGGTCAATGAGTCATAGATAATTTAAAAATTACTAGTATTACAATTTATTCGTAAAATTTCACAAATAAATTTACAAGATAACTTGCGGATCTGGGCTTCATAATAGGTAAATATATTGAGGATACTGTTGTAAATCGATTAATTTATTCACTTCACTATAACCTTAATCAAATCAAGAATGATATGATTGATAGTACAAACTATCAAACATAAATTATAAACATGATCAAATCAATGGTGATTTTTTGACGTTCTGCCTCCGGATAGTTGATTGATTGATTCGATTGGCAGAACTAAATTTCAGTCTGGCATAATGAAGATGATCGAGTCAAGATTCTTTCTATTATATTATTTCAACAGATAGATTTAGTTTATAAATACTATCTCCCATGCTTGAATTATAAACGTGATTAAATCGAGATTAATAATTCTATAATGTATAAATGATAGATATTGCCGATACAAGTAATCAATATCGTCAACAAGATGGTAGGTGTGGTCCATATATTATGTAAAGTTTAGGATACATCCCCGCAGAGAATTAGATTATATTCAAGTCTTGTTGCTAGCGTACCTCCATATAATCAATTTAATTTATCAACAAACATAGATTGAATACTAACTTTCTGTTGGGAATAGATCATACATCACAGCTAGATTATATCCTTTGGGATAAAAAAGGGTGGAAAGACTAGAAGATTCATAATATTGTCATGTGATAATCAAGTCCATTTGCAAATTGCTGACATCATTGTAGTACTTTGAAGATGATTATTACTGATCACTTTTATCATTTTAGCGATATCAATTTAGCATTTGCTTGATTATATTAAAGTATCAGATAACGCCTAAATATAAGAAATCACTAGAAAAGTAAATATCCTAATATTTAGACAATCTTTTTAAACTCAGTCATGGGCCATTGAATAGTTCATGTTCTCTCTCTTCATATCTAAAAGATTTACCTCGAATTTTGTGCTTAACGAATTGCTAAAAATCACGATACTGGTTGTCTGTATCAATAATAACAACTTCAATGCCGTAGTATAAGTCAATTCTAGATAGGATAAGTTATAACCAAAATAATAGACCTTGTCTAGTCAATAATTTTAAATGTCTAAGTTATTATTTTCAATTAATTTACATCTTTTTAATGGATCTTTGCTACCCTACCGCAACAAACATAATTAATTTTACTAGTGACAGATCGTTAAAATTACAGCCTATAATTATTACAAATTCTAGCAATACTTTGATATCTTGAGATGAACTATCAATTTGTTATAATCATTAATTTCACTCTAATTGATAATATATAGTTTTCTTCTTATAATGAATCTTCGCTACTGGTATTAATCTTAAGATAATTTTGGAGACTATTACATTTTAAGCTAACTGTAGTGCTACTATCATTATTATTCGTAATTTATACGACACTATCTGATAGGTCCTTTATGAGATCAATTTTTACTGTTCTATTAACGTGTCAGCATGTTTTAAGATAATTTGATTTACCAAATCAATTGCATCCTCGCAAGTTTTATTACTTGTAACTTTATAGCATCTACAGAGTTATCGAGGTATATCTTTAATGCCATGTAGTACTGGTTGTAGAGTATTTTTTATCATCCAATTTATAACAAAATTGCGTTGCTATGATAGACCTAGACTTTATAAAGTATATCATATAGAAATCTGCAAATAGAATTATCTTCATTTCCTGATAGTTAAAACGAACTGCAATGTTACTATTGAATTCGTTGCGATCAATTGACTGATTTCAAACATGTTTATTATGATTAATTAATATCTTAATCACATTTATCATCTATTTTTAATTCTATGATAGTTAATTTTTGATGAATTCAAGGATTACATTGTCGTCACATGATATTATGGACTGATTGACTGGTTATTATTTTATAGTATAATAGAAGATCGAAATTAGCTGTAAACAAGTATACTCTAAAAGATAGTTCAAGGGATTATACTACCTATATAATAGAAAAGCCGATGGGATATGGTTAAAGAGACTACAAATACAGTATATCTAATTAATAGTAACGATACCTAATCACTAATAGATCACTTCCTATCGCAATAGTTGAATAGGCTTGTACAACTAAACGGTTGTTCC